ATAAAAATCCGATCCAACAGAGTCGATTATTACAAAAAATATATTACTTCTGGTTCAGGCATTTTAAGAGCTTGATGTGGTACATCATCACTCAAAGATATAACTATTTTATTCGGCAGAACCATTACTGCAGCAATCTGTTCGACAAACATGTATCGTAGCATGTCTCTGAAAATATGTACTTAGAAAACAAATCGAATAAAATGATGACTATTAATATTAAAAATTACACATTATAAGTTAAATATTTGTTTTCACGCACCTGAGACCTGGCATATCCAACAAGTCAATTACGCCCAACAAATTAAAATCTAAATAGGGGTTATTTAAAAAATATATTTGTATACCACCAAAAAGTGGCATTTCTTTTAATAAGGGTTTCAAAACTACTCGAACAATACCATGCATCTGTAATCAAAACAAGAGCTCATAATTATGTGCAAGCTAATTTAATTAAATATAAATATATAAAGATATTGACCTGAAAATCTTTCAACCCTCCTCTCACTCCTTTCAGGGAAAATGTTATATCGCTATTGCCTGCATAACTATAAATTTTTTAATGCATTTAAAAGTTATTTTTTTATAAAATATACTCATAAATTACGTACAAAATATCCAGGTCTAGAACAATTTCATCTCTGGAAGTATTACGATCATAAACTTTGACTCCGCCAATTTTTGGAGGCTATGCTCGATTAGAAAAGATAGATTTTGAAGATATTAGATATAATTGATATTTTAAATAACATTTTTCAATTTATGATTGTATTAATGAATTAAAAGTTGATGATAAAACTTACTATAGTTCCCAAGACAATTCTATCAAATTTAAATCCTTTTACAGTTTCAGCTACAGCTGGCTCGATCTTTTCTTTTATATATGCTCTGATGTGATAGCTGACATTTGCCCAAATCGTATTGAAAATCTTATTGAAAAAATAAATTGAGAAATTATATAATCAATAATGACTCTGTGTGTTGATATAATGCATGACGCACAAAATTTTCATTATATAACATACCCTATTGAGCCACTCCGCACGTTCTATATCGGGATATATAATCTAAAAAATAAAAAAAATATGTAAAAATTATAATATTAACAATAACAACATTCATCAAGAATCGTTTATACCCAGGCAGGCAAGTCTCCAAGTTTGGCTAGGATAATATCTTTTTCATTTCCCGTAGCAAAAGCTTTAGCAACTGATCGTCTCGCTTCATTTCTTCTACGAATTTCATCTCGCACAGCAAGGAAAATTACCGGGCCTTAATTTTAAAAAGCAATGTATCGTAAAATAAATTACGAAATTTTATTAGTTTTTTCTTACCTATTAGCCATACGGCTGACATTCCCATGTATCCGCAAAAATAAGCACAACCTAAAACAAAAGCTTTCTTGGCAATTGCATATACCCAACTTTCAATAGTGCTATAGTACGGAGGTGCGTCCAATTCTTGATGGTTGTGATCTTTATAGGCGGATGAAGCTCTTACTGAATCTGCATTATTTACGGCCCCTATTTCTTTAATAATTATTTGTTCAAGAATTTTTGATGGTTTTTTAGTAATACTAATAACCGGTTTTTCTCTCTCTAAATAGTCCTTTTTCGCCTTTTTGGATGCTTTAATTGCTTTTTTAAGACTGCGGTTTAAGTCTTCAGTCATCTTTTTATCCAGTTCATTTTTATCTATTATATCGACATATTTTTCTGAGTTTTTCTTTTTCCGATGTTTTTTCTTCTTGGAGACTTTTTCTGATTCATCACTTGATAATTGTTGTTCTGGTTTAACATCTTCTATATGATTCTGTGTGTTTTTTAGAATTTTCTTGGCAGCTGTGAAATCCTCATGTACATCAATGGTTTCTTCGAACGGTTTCTTTGCAATAGGAATGTTATTTCTCTTGACTCTAATTTTTAAATAATCATCTCGCTTAGTAAGTGCAAGTGCAAGTTCGTCAGGTTCTTCCTCATCTTCAACTTTCTTTTTACGTTTACGTTTTTCTGGTTTTTCACCATAATCACGTTTTGTTTTATGTCTTTCTGGTTTATAGGTAAATTCGCTTGTTTCTATGCGTTGCTTTAGAGGACTTTCAGATTGCCATGCATCTACTAAATTATTACTATCTGATTTTTTTACAGACACCTTTGTTGAGTTACTAATCCAATCTTCTACAATATTTACAGGAGATGTTTTTGATCGTTCCTTCCTAGCCTTACTCCTCTCTTTCGCTTTTGAAGTCGTTTTCGCATTTTCTATTTGATCTGTAGGTGTTACATGTATTGTAGCAATATCAATATCACTATCAGACGAATCATTTGTTGGCCATTTTACGAGATTAATCATTGAATCACTTTTAGGTTTTTTCTTCGTTGTAAAGTTTTCTTCACCTTCCGATTCACTAGAACTGGTGTCTCCTGATTTGCGTTTACCAGAGATGTTCGTGTTTCTTTCAGAATCTATTCCAGATGGATTCAAAGAACTATTTGATTTGCTTTTGGATGATATATCTGATCTCGAGAAGTCTTCAGATCTTTCCTCCGAATCCCCAGATCTAGAAAAATCTGATTTGCTCTTAGATGAATATTCCGATCTACCAATTGAATCATCTGACTTGCTTTTAAAGCATTTTCCTATATTTTCTTCCGATCTGAATAAGGACTCATCCGACTTTATTTTACGTATTTTTGAGAGTTTTTCGGACGAATCTTCTGCTTTCAGTGCATAATCCCTTTCACGTTTAGAGTTTAATTCGGATTTTTTAATCTTCTCTGGCATTTCTAAGACTTCTTCAGTTACGGCATAGTCTAGCGATTCATATTTTTTTCTATATGGCTCTTCCAACTTGCCGTAATGATCTTGAGACCTTTTTTTATTTCTTCCTGGTCTTATCGCAACCTCATCTGTTCTATTTTTACTTTTTTTCTTAGATTTTTCAAAATTAATTTCCTCACTGTCTACATTTTTTTCTGTATTCTTGTCGTCGTCTATGGATTCATCTAGGCTTTTCTCTTCTACCCTTGATTTAAATTCAACAGTTTTCTTTTTACAAGTATCCGGTATTAAAGATTTTTTATCGAACTCTACGATCTTCCTGCGACTTCTTTCTGGCGAATTCTTGTAGGTTGCTTCCATTAATTTGAGGTTTTGCTCTGTAGTATTTTTATGAGAACCTTCCGCTTTTTTCTTATTGGATTCTCCGCCTTTTTTAGATTGACCCGACATTTTGCTGCAATAATTTGATTACCTATAACGCGTTCATAATACATTGTGGAACAAGTTGATCTATCTGCCAGGCAGCCACTTAAATTCAGTCAATGTCATAAGGCAGGGTACATTTCACTTTTAATTTTGCAATGACAGAATAGGCATAAGATAAAGATTTTGAAAATTTAAATGATGACAGATGACAAACTATTTGTTTTGATAAATAAATTAAACAAATCAGATTGTTGGATAACGTAAAATGACAAATATATCTTAGGTATAATAATCACTTATTTATTATAGTAATTAAAACAAGACATCATGTAAACGCAATTGACATTATGTATTTCTTATGAATATAAACATTAATTATGTTATAATCATAATTAAACATATTTGAAAGCATAAGTTTGCAATAACGGTTTTAAACAACTTGATTGTTTAAATTATGCGAAATACATATAAAAATACATATAACTAAATATACAATCCAAGATAGAAGTTTATTTATTTTCAAATAACATTAATAACATCAATAAGTTTTTTATTTAGGAGGTATATGGTAAGCTTTTTGAAGCTGCATAATGAAGTTTTAAGATTAAGTACGTATTAAAGATAATTGAAATAATCTAGAATGTAAGGCACATGTCAAAAGAAAATTTATGTTGAAAAAATAAATATTAGTACAGTATATACATCTATATACCAAATTTGTGCAACACAAAAGTATCATTTGTAATATAAAAGCATTATTAAATATTGATAAAAATCTTTTATAAAATAACAAAATAAAGCGTATATTTATACCTAAAAATAACAAACATAAATATAAACTGTAGAAGCAAAAATTAAAGGTAGAAAAACACATTTAATTTAATAGCATACGCATGTTTTGATTAAAATTCGAAAGCAATGATCCACATTTATGACTTAAATTCTGGGCATAGATCCAGCCAATGGGTTGAAGCTTGAGATAAATCGTAATCGTTCAGATCTAAAATCACCTAAAAGTAATTCCAAAAACGTGTATTATTATTTGTATCTTGAATAGATATATATTTTCTATTAATATCGTGAATCTTACTTGACCGATCACAGGACTACCTCCCGATAAAAATCCTTTCTGCGTAGCTACCGTCACTTCCAATTGCGTCGTCGACAATTCTCCTTGAGAAATTATGTATTCGAATGATTCATCAAAAACTGGGTTACAATTATCTTTTATCACCTGAAATAAAAAAAATGAATAAATATCTTGAATATATAATAAGTTGTTTTAAACTTACAGCAGTCTTTCGCTTTGAGTCTTTTGAGCGCGATGGTAACAGATACAATTTAACGTAAGGATCAGGAATATTAGATGGATCCTTCAACGGAATATGCCTAAAAAATTAATTTTAAGGGTTACATTTGATGAATTTTCAGAATGTGGAAAATTATTTTATATACTTACATAATTTTATGAACAATAACTACCAATCTTTGGCGTTGAACGCTGTATCGCAATGTCAACTGGATACGTCCCAAGTCGTGTGCGCCAGATGTTCTTTTAAAATTTGAGAATTCAAATCAGATTAGTTAAGGAAAACTCGATTTTACTTTATTTAATACAATAATGCATTTTATTAAAGTAACCCTATTTTTGGTTTAATAACCGGGACGAAAACTATAGTAAGCCAAGGAGCGTAGTTTTTAACAGTTGTTTAACAAAATCAGTTTTACATTAAATAAACCAATTTTTTGAAAACCCGGGATTTTCCTTGAAATCCGGAACGTATGGTCACCTTAATTTTACTTGTATTGCGTTATTATGAAAATGTTATGTTATTTTATTTAAATTATTGGAAAATCTATTAAATTTGCACTATACATATCATATTGCAAATGATTACGGCATAAGAAATATCTCTGTCTATCCATATCAATTAAAAACAATTAAGTTCAATTATCCTAATCAAATCAATTCATAAAAGCATTAAATGACTTACGAAGTGACGGAAGGTGTTCTGTGAACTAAACCGCTCAACTTTGGTGAACCGGGGATAGATTCAACGTATGTTGGTGCTTCAGTCTTTTCTACTAAAGGTTCCAGTTCCTCGTCCAGAGCAATTGGAGCTTTGTTGGATCTTATCGAATCTTGCTTTCTGATAGAATGTGCAGGACTTGGAGGCGCTTTGTCTGCAAAGAAATCATAAGACAAAAAGTATTTAAAACACATTCAAATAATAAGTTATTTGGTATATGAATTAATTCAAAGCTTAACTTGCTGATCTGGCTAATAAAAATTAATCTTCAATCGTGCAAACAAATATAAAAAAAATATTTTTAATTACCTGAAGACGAATCGGATTTCTTATGACTGCTTCTCACAGAGCTACTTCTGGACAAATTTCCCTGTTCAACAGCATCACCATCTCCGGATTCTGATACGTCAGAAGACGCTACTGGCCCATCATATTTCAAGATCTATAATGAATTGATTAAAATACAGTAATTAATTTTTGCATGATGTATAAATTTCACTATCACGACTTACTCTTAAACTCATGCTCAAAATAATTTTTGATTCAGGTCCCGATTTTTGCAAGGTAAACGGTTCATTTTCAATTTGCATATTTGGCAATTCTAATAAACCAGAGAGAGCGTATGCAAACTTTCCTATTTCATTGCCGGTTTTGTGATCAACAATCTAAAAAAAACAAAAATATAAAAAAATATGAATATAGAGATATTTGTAGTTGTCTTTCTATATAACGGACCTTCAGATAAACACCATCATTATCAGGATTTGCAACCAAGAATGTATATCCTTGTTCCCAAACAGGGCAATCAGTGCGCATTTGCACCTGAGTTTGTTCGGAATTTTTACCGACACTTGCAACAACGTAGGGATCAGGTTTACTTTGAACACGAGCTTGCTGAAAAAACAAATATTTTATTAAATATTATAATAAATTATAATGTTACAGATAGTTATAATAACTTACTGGTAAGTTCTTGGCACTGTCAATAAAAATGGTCAAAAGTGCAGTACTCATTGAAGTAACCCTCAATAGTTGCGTTTCTTCTAAAGCCTTCAAAAATAAATTATATACACATATTAAATTTAACGATTATTCAATATAATATACTTACGGCCTGTAAATCATTTGGATTGCTAGTTAAAGTCAACCAAGTCATACGTAAATGAACCATTCCATGTTTAGCTTGCTCCAATGTGAGCCACTGAAATGAGATTATATAATTCAATTGCCATTTGATTAAATAATATTAAATAAAATCATAAATACTAACCGTATCGATTTGACCTTTCTTTGCAACGCTGTTAACTTCAACAGTAGCTCTGCAAATCAATATATTGTTAATTTGTGGCCAAACCGAAGAGAAAATTCTTGTTATGTTCTTGGAATTTAAATAATAAATGATACAAATTTTCTATCTTGATTTGAATATAACCGAAATAAAAGAATATTTGGTAACAATAATATAATATTGTTACCAAAGATAAGATAACTGGTTAAGTTAATTCAACATCTAAAGAAAACTCAGAAGGCAAAACACACTTGCCAGTACAAAAACTATTAGTTTTCGAAATATCAATAATGTAAATAATGCTATTACAGTTGAATTTATATTTTTTTAGTTTACAATCAATCTAAAATACTAAAATCACTCATAATATAAGGTGTATAGGAAAGCAGCATAATGAAAATTGTTATATTAAGCTTTTATCCAAAACCAGTATACTGTTAATTAGGATTATATAACATAAGTTGCTATCATATTTTTATCTAAGAGTCATTATATTCTTATAATATAACCAATAAAAAATCTATAAAATATCACAGTCTTGAAATAAATTTTTAGATCTAATATATCAACTTAAATAAAAATATGATAGCCAATTAATATAATTTCCATGCTATAGTAATTAGTTAAATTAACTACATTTAATTTAATTTAGTTCAGTCAAAGTTAATATAATTGTTAATATCACATAATGAAAATATTTTACATTTAGCTATCTACAAAATTTTGAGACTAGAAAATCAAAAATAACATCTTTTTTTTAGAACTCTCTACGAAAGAACCTAACTTGTATCTTTGTAATAAATCTAATTTTTTACTGTAACATGGAATGTTAAAGACAAACAATTAACATTTAACAATTAGCTATAGGGAAATGCACAGAAACCGACCTGCCCAAGCTCTCGTCGGCAGTTCGGTCTTTGTCGTAGAGCAGGATTGCCAGCAGGGAGGAGTTGCCATCCTCAATTGCCATCTGCACAAGACCAAATTAAAAAGCCGTGCACTTTCAATTTCGCGATGTTATTATAGCAATAAATGGGTTTAAATTATTACTGGGAATTGGCAGCATAAATCATAATAGAATATTATAAATATATATACAGCATACACATATAACACGAGTCAAAAGTGTTGGTAATGTTCAGGTGTTCGACAAAGCCATTTGGAAGATATAAAGTATCATTAGAAAAGCATTTCACAAAACCATGTATTATTGAACTTATTATGACAAAGATGTATTCAATATAAATTCTTAACAATATTCGTGTTATTTATAAACAAAATTATGAATGAGTTATAGTAAAATTCGAAAAATACGAGACTTCACAAAAATATAAAAAGTAATATTTCATTTCTATGAATTTTTTTATAAATCAATATATAAATACTCAATGCGAATATCTTTTATACTAATATTAGAGCGGTCCTTAATATAGACATTTTCGAATTTCCTTGCTCCTAAAGGCTCAAATGATTCCAAATTGGTAAAAAACAATTCTATGAAAGTGTTAGCTCTTAATATTGTTTTTTAGATAGTGTGCAATTTAATCAAAGTTTTGTATGGAAATAGCATGAAATTTTTTTCAAAAATTTTAAAAATGTTTTTATATATAATTTAGCGAACAAATGAATGAGTTTTATTCAAAATTTGTCGCTAAGTTATACCTAATTTTTTTTTTAATTCTCAAATTTTTTTTCATGCTATTTTCATACGAAGTTTGATTGAATTGCGCACTATTTAAAAGTTAATATTGAGAGCTAAAACTTTCCGAGAATTGTTTTTATCAATTTGGAATCATTCGAGCCCTTGGAAGCAAGGAAATTCGCAAATGTCCATATTAAGGACCACCCTAACTTATGTAGTTTATATATAAATACATCGCATACCATTCAAAAGCTTTAAAATTGTCTTGTTATATTTGCATTAGCTTCAAAGCATGTTTGTATGAAAATACGTATCAAAATGTAAACATTTATTTGCAGATCGAGTAAAATAAACAACTTTCTCAATAGAACAATAAAGCATTTTAGTTCATTAACATCAAGTAATATCACAACAACTGAATTATACTTTTTAGAGTATAATTTTTGATTAAAAAGGCTAAATAGCACAAGAAATTTGTAGTTGCACTAAAGAAAGTTCGTAGCTTCATACTTCTAATATTGTAATTATTATTGCAGTAACGAATCGGATACTACTACTTTGATTTAAAATTGATGCCAATAATAATTACAACGGTATCCTTTATTTTATATATAACGTATATTTACATATGACTCAAAACGTGTAGTAAGAACTTCGAAATTTAAAGATTCATTTATAGATTGTTTTTAATAGTTTGACGTATATAATCTAATAATTAAATATATTAACTATGTCAGGATTTAATCAGCAATTATTTTAAATATATGGGCAGATATATATTCCACATTGCGTAAGTTCTCACTTGCGTTGGGCGTCAATCAATTGACACCATGGCTAATAACGACTTGTCTCCCCAAGTGGGAATTTAATCATTTTTTATGTAATAGTATTAATGTATTTATGTAATAATGTTTATATACACACGTGTGTGTGACGTTTTATTAAAGTCAATCAAAAACACATCCTCCCGACGAGAAAGCAAAGCTAAAAAACTGTTAGTCACCAAAAAATATCAGAAACTCGCCAAAGCGCAAAGCGTTTTGCAAACCGTTCAGATTAATTGCAGAGACCTGCCCAAGAAATCATCATTCTGTGCACCCGGAAATCCCGGATCCCAATCCCACAAATCCAACGCAACTTCTTGACGCTTTCTCGAACTAATTTCTCCCTGTTATCGTCATATAATATAATAATAAAGTAATATATACCAAAAACATAGCGTTATATAATAATATAATCGATAAAAAATAAAGCAGTAAAATTATATCATTTCACATTCATTTTGAATGTAAACCAACTCAACTTCATGATAAAAAATATACAACAAAAATATTAATAAAAATTTGAAGTTAGAATTTATATGAATCAGCGTGTTTTTAACGACGTAGACAAAAAAATGTATACTTATGCTGAAAACACAGAATATGGTGGATTAAAAAAACAACGCAAGAACTTACCTTCATATTACAATTTGCCTACAACCTAACAAAACCATAACCATACATTTATAAAATATAAAAACGTTTAAAATTGAAGTATTTCAATTAATGTTTGCTGTTTCGTGTAATTTTGTGGTGTTAATTTTGCCTAATCTAAGAGCATACTTCTTAAATATACTTACTACACATGACTAAATACTTAGATCAAATTAGATATACAGATTGGTTCTTTGCAAAATCAACTTAAATTTTTCTAAAATAAAGTATTAAAAAATAAAATGAAATTGTAAAACATTAAGAACAATTTCAACTATGATAAAAGCAGCATGCAAATATTAATTGTACACTCATTCGGCCTAAATACTTTGTGCGAATCGGTGAAGAGTTAATATGCCATATTAAATTTTTGTATGAAATTATCCGTAAACTACATCTATAAAAATGATTAAAATGAATGACAAAGCAGGAAAGGTAAACTACAATGATCTAATATCAATATAATTTACGGATAACTTCAACCCAGTACCGAAAAGCGAAAAGGTCGTTCACCAAACTGGGATTATTCTTTTTTTAAAGGTGCTGTTTATAAACTGACCTTCCAAGACTCTCATCCTTTTTAGAGATATCATCTTTGTCCAATAGTTGAAGGAATAATGTCTGACCTTTCGACTCCAAAACGCCCTGCGTTCCGTGCATTCAAAACAAAAACCAAATACAGAAAACAACACATTGAAAAAAAAAACTAAATTTTGAAACAAACGGTTGAAGAAAGTTTAATAAGTAACATTTTATGAATTCAGATCTGAAATTTCATATTAACGCCCTATAATTTTTTAAGCTAATTTTTAAATACATGAATTTATTAATTCGTAGAGAAAGTAATGAAGTAAGCTAGTAATAATAACATATTTGCGATGGATTTCGATTTAGCAATACAAATAGCTGCAAATAAAATTGGCAGTTTTGAATATGCATATAAATTAAATCAAGAACTAATTGCCTTCAACAAGTGATATAATATTCATGATTTTATTTCGTTGGAAGATGCAATTAAAAGCAGAGAGAAGTATTGCAACAGTTCCATTCTATATAAAACACGGCAAACGATAATATTACTATTATACAAAAAATATGTATATCAAAGATCATAACAAAAAATTGTCGTTAAGGCTTATTATAATGATTGTGGCAAATATATAAAATTATGTAAAGCTTTTGTTCCTGTTTTGGACATCGTACAAACATTCACGACAATACTATATGTAATCTGTTTGCAATAGGTAAGCTAAAAAAAAGTTATGAAAAAAATTCTATTGAATGCATTTATAAAGTGCACGCTAACTGCATTTCACGCAAAAAATATGTATGTCACAAAAAGGCAATTAACGCATGCGTTAAGAACCAAACTGCGAAAAACTAAAAAATATATTAAACACGGTTTTATCTCGGATATTTTAAAATGTTACTGTAAAAAAATGGTTGATTAATGACCTTTTTGATAACCTAAACTAACTGATTCAGCTATTAATCTTAGTATAATGATGAGCTTCTGTTCTCATCTCTATTTAGTTCTATTCTATTTTATCTTTATTATTTACAAAAATTCTTGACATTTATCTCCTATAGTAAAATTGCTACATAAAATATTTTAATGTTTACTGATGCATTTTTAATACAATTGAATCAGACTTACTTCATTCTAAAAAATATTTATAGTATTTTCTTAAACCAACCGCCCTTAGATTAAAATTTCCGTTACCAGGCTTAAAATTTCTTGCTTAATAATTATTAATCGCAGATTATATTCAATCATTTTCAAATGATAAATCATTATAATTTATTCCGCAAATTTTTAACGAAAAATTGGCAACTTAACGAGTATCTGCACTCGTTTTCTTCAAATGAAAACTTCATATATTTTTATTTTTATCAATCTATTTGTCTTAGTTATAAAAAAAATCTTTTGATTGTTTTGATTTGAACAGCACGTCAAAATACATCAGTAAACAACAATTACTAAATCTAATCTTGAAACTATTGTTAAAGAAAACTCAATGGTAAAAAATACTGCTGTTAGAAAACTCGAGTTAAAATTTTCACATAATAAAGAAAAAAATAAACATGTATAACAATAGAAATTAATTAGACCACTGACCTCACACCAATAGTCCCACTTTGGATCGACTGTATTATCAATTGTTTGTGTGCGAAATTCTTGTGCTCCAACAGTAACAATAGCATAGGGATCGCTTTTGCCTTTTCCCAGAACTCCAATATCCTTCTTCATTAAATGTTTAGCTTCAACAACATGGATTCGTAGCACGCCCTATCATATTAAAAAAAAAACAGAATATATTAAAAAAGTATTCCACAATATGCAACTTTAGAAACATCTAAAGTGTCCAAAAGTAGCACATATTTCAGCAGTTAGAGAATGATGCCAGAACTGGGAGAAATATATTTTAAATTACATAAATTAATAAATCAAGCAATAATTACCTCAGGTTCTGGCATTTTCAGTGTCTGTGCGGGTATTTCATCACTCATCTGAATAGCCATTTTATTTGGCAAAACCATCATAGCAGCTACTTGTTCCACAATAATACGTCGCAACAAGTCACTGGAAAAGTAAAAAATTCAATTGAATAAAAACTTTATATCAATATAATACCTTCATCTTATCCATACCTTAGGCCAGGCATATCCAATAAGTCGGCAACTCCAACCAAATTAAAATCAATACTTGGATTATTCAAAAAAAATACTTGAATACCTCCAAATAATGGTATTTTAGATATCAAAGGCTTCAAAACTACTCGTACCATGCCATGTATCTGTAAAATTGTAAAATTAATTATTAATTAAACTAGTAAATTATAATAATAACAATGCTTCTTGTTTGTTTAACACAATATTTACCTGAAAATCTCTTATTCCTCCTTTAATTCCTCCCAAAACAAAAGTTATATCACAATTACCAGCATAACTAAAATAAAAATAATCTATTTTAGAAAGTTATCTGAAAAAATTAAAATAAGAATTATGATTACATACAATATATCCATATCCATTATAACTTCATTCCTATCAACATTTCGATCATATACTTTAACACCACCAATTCTGGGAGGCTGCAAAATAAAACAAAATTCAAAACTTAAATCTTGCCGCAAATATATTAATTTTTTTAATAATACTCACAATAGTTCCAAGAATTAAACGATCAAATTTAAAGCCATGGAGTTTGTATTTAGCAAGAGCAGCAGCAACGGAAGGTTCAATACTATCTTTTATTAGGCCACGAGCATAATGGTTCACATTAGGCCAGACTTGTCGAAGAATCTAAAACAATAATATTGATAAATTTATTCAAAATCTAGTACTCAAAATCTAAATATATTGAATCTTACCCTGTTTAACCATTCAGCTCTTTCAATATCTGGGAAAAATACCTAAAAGAATATAACGAAATTAATATATACTAAGTGTTATTAAACAGAATTAGTGACATAAAATATTCTCATGTGGCTTTAAACAATTCTTATATTTTATCATTATACTTTCAATTGTAATTAATATATTAGCACCAATATTAATTGTTGATTAAAACTTAAAAAAGCATTTTTTCAATCTATAGCTTATAAATCTATTTACCCAAGCTGGTAAATCATCAAGCCGAGCTAAAATCACATCTTTTTCACTTGCTAGAGCTGAAGCTTTGGCAATATTTCTCCTCATATCACTTTCCTTCCGCCACTCGTCACGAGCAACAGAAAGAAACAGTGGAGCTAGTAAAAAATCGATTTATATAAAAATGTTAAATTAATAAAGTATTATATTTTTGAATCCTTATAATAGAAAATCAATATAATAACTAATACAAAATGCTTTACAATAAAATATAGCAAAGTTCATTATCTTTATTGATACTTGAATTACTTTCAACCTAATTTAGCTTTTACTAAAATATAATAGAAATAAAAACAAATGGTTATACCTATTAGCCATGCCACAGACCAGCCCATATATCCTACAAAATAAACAGTTCCAACGACAATAATCTTTTTCGCCAAGGAATAAATCCATGATCCCACAGAACCATAAGATCCAACATGTGGAGAAGGTTTGGACGGATCCAATTCCTTACTAGCACCTGCCATATCTTCTTCACTATAAATTATATAATTAATAATATATAATAAAATAATTATGTTTAATAATTTAATTTGCAATTTGTACAAATTATCAGCATTTATTATTATTATTATTAAATATTAGATTTAATTAATGTGAATGAAACTGTAAAGTAACAGGACTTTAAATCCATTGTTAAATTGCAATATAATGCATCCAATGAGATAGGTTAGTCACAAAACTTAATATTTATTTGATTGTTGTTGAATGATTACTTATAATCATCGAACTATAATAAACAGATCTTATATATATATATATATATATATATATATATATATATATTGATAGCAATTATGAAACGTAATTTTAAATTATTGTTTTAAGAACTTTGTGAATATAGTTTTTTAAGTAGTACATTTTTGTTACAATCGACTAATTGTCAAAAAGTAATTGGTAAACAACATTTCAATGATGATGACATATAATAAGAAACCATAAAGAACCAAATTAAAAAGCTATATAAAAAAGAAATGATATAATTATAAAATAATTTAAAAATAATTTCAAATTATAGATGCCAATCAAATGTGATTTATAAATGGACATAATAGAATGTGTGCTATTACACCCTGGTATAGTTGAAGATTTTGTGCAAATAAATGTTTTTATAATAAACTAATAGATATAATATATAATAATATATTCAATATATATATATATATATATATATATATATATGATTTAGTAGTTAATTTTGATGTGGAGATATTTGAGTAAGTTCTTTAAGGGCGATACATCAAACAAAGAAAAACAAAGATTTATAAAATAATCTCTAATTCTAAACGTTTCGACATACAATTTGATGTCATCACCAGTAGATCCATAAATTAAAAAATTAAAAAAATTATATAAACTATAGGAATTATAATTTTGTGAAGAACCTATAAATAGAAGATAAAAATTAAGAAATAACAAAACAACAACACTTATCAAATTAAAAAGAGAAAATAGAATAATAAAGTAAAATTTATATATATATATATATATATATATATATATATATATATATATGATGTGTCTGCATTGTAAGACCTTGAATAAGAAAATATGACATTTGAAATGTTAGCAAAGGGCTGACAAAGCACAATGGGGACAGACGTAAAACGTTGACAAAACAATAAAAATCGTACCTCATTTTGGCGAAACCAAATCTCAACAAATAACTAAATAATAATCACATAAAATGGTAAAACATAACCTCTCTTGTAACCAAGTGTTTAGTAAAATAAAATTTTGGAATATATGCACCCCACCTTAGTTATACCAATCAACAATGAATAATATATTCTATAGTTTACTCATGACCAATAAATTCAACATTCCAACACGTCTAGAAAATTAATATTTCGTTCCCAAAGCAATCTTTGACAGCGATACAACAAATCGACTGATAGCCTTTACGTATGTGTGAATCTAGGGTGCATTCGACTTGGACGCTTACGCGCTGTGAGCGCGCCGTGAGCGCGCTTTCATCGTTCGACTTGGCGCTGTGAGTGTCACATAAGTACGCTCGTAGCATCATCGTAGGATGCTCGTAGCACATATTTTGCGCTCACATACGCTCACGCCACAGAGGTAGGGCAGCGTGAGCGTGAGCGTCAGTTGTTTTTACTATCTGTCATTTCATTTGTTTATTAATTGTCAAATTCTTTATAATTCCACAAAAATGGCAAGCTGTAGATCACAATTATTTTTTAATATTAATATTGATATTAATTAATTTTAAATTTAATTAATTTAAATAATTTTAAATTTCAATTTTAATATTACTATTAATTAAGCATAAGCTGACCAAATTTCATTTATTTATTAATTGTTAAATTTTTTATAATCCCGCAAAAATGCCAAGTTGTATATCACATTTATTTTTTAATATTATATTAATATTAAATAATTTTAAATTTTAATTTTAATATTACTATTAATTTAACATAAGCTAACCAAATTTCATTTATTCATTAATTGTTAAATTTTTTATAATCCCGCAAAAATGCCAAGTTGTATATCACATTTATTTTTTAATATTAATATTAATATTAAATAATTTTAATATTACTATTAATTAAGCATAAGCTGACCAAATTTCATTTATTTATTAATTGTTAAATTCTATATAATCCCGCAAAAATGCCAAGTTGTATATCACAATTATTTCTTAATATTAATATTAATATTAAATAATTTAAATTTTAATTTTAATATTACTATTAATTAGGCATAAGCTAACCAAATTTCATTTATTCATTAATTGTTAAATTTTTTATAATCCCGCAAAAATGCCAAGTTGTATATCACATTTATTTTTTAATATTAATATTAATATTAAATAATTTAAATTTTAATTTTAATATTACTATTAATTAAGCATAAGCTAACCAAATTTCATTTATTCATTAATTGTTAAATTTTTTATAATCCCGCAAAAATGCCAAGTTGTATATCACATTTATTTTTTAATATTAATATTAATATTAATTAATTTTAAACTTAATTAATTTTAAATAATTTTAAATTTTAATTTTAATTAATATGAATTAAGCATAAGCAAACCAAATTTCATTTATTTATTAATTGTTAAATTCTTTATAATCCCGCTGAATGATCCAGAAAGTAATAAAATTTACACAATTATCGTTACCGCCAGTTGCCGCCATTTTGATGCTTATTGACGCTCACAGTTTCCAAAACGAACGGAATTTAGTTATCGATTCTGAGCGCTTATCGGCCAAGTCGAACGCTAAAAATTCGTGCTTATAAGCGTGAGCGCTCACAGCGCGTAAGCGTCCAAGTCGAACGCACCCCTAGTTAGATTCCGTCGTTCGTAGCGCATTACGTCATGAGTTATATTTACAGCTTTTATAAACAAGATTCTTAATTCTTGTTTAGTATGATTCACTTAAACTTGTAAAATGATAAAGCAGATCAAATAAAGATTATAGCACCATTTTGTTTCCGTTATCACTGTAAAATTATTGTCTTATCAATTGTAAAAATGCATAATAATCCACTTATGAATGAATCATATCTTAATTTTCCGAATTAACTTATTTATTTTGACTTATATTTTAAAAATTCACAATAATTTAAAAATTAATTATCATATCGTTATAGTTTTAACAGTTCTGTATGAATTTAACGAGTCCTGTTAAACGAGTCTGTATGAATTAAACGAGTCCTGCCGTTATGCTGGCTTCTTAATGAAGTTGGCTTTTAAAAGTGGCAACCCTAAGGGTAGCCAAATATCCGTATTGTGAAGTTAGTCATAAATGATTATTAAAATTTTTGTGATAAATTTAAATTTATGGGTAAAAACGGAATTTTTCAAAATTTGATCCCAATTTTTGGGTCAATGCACGACACATTAGAATTCATTTCAGAGGTATGGTTTTTTCGGCAAAATATCTTAGTTTGATCCCTAGTATCCAAAAATCATATGTGCCTATTCGACATTTTTATATATATTTTTTTTCATCAATATCTTGACATCAAGATGCACAGGCGGTTATTTAACATGGAATATTTGATTCCAGTCTGGGTAGCCTACACAAACTCCTATAATAATATCACATCAAATAAATCGCGTTATCACTATAAAATTATTTGCTTTCTTATCAATTTGTTGAAATCCTCCGATGATCTAATGCTGTGATAATAAATCAATTACCAATTTATTGATTTACTTTATTAATTTATGTATTACTTATTCTGAACATTATCATTATTTGTTCTAAGTAAAATAATTTTTGAGACTTACACACTTTTCTTTTTGTTATCAGTTTATATAAATTTACAAAGGTTTCCAAAGATGGTCTGCATATGCGGCATATCTAATATATTAGATATCTATAAATATATTAGAATATAAATGTCAGAAAAATTATCAGCCACAAAATCACCGCACGCAATTATAATTATTTTTCATAAAACATAACCCAAGCTATGTATAAAAATGTTTTTCTTCAATATTAATAAGCATTTACTTTCCAATTCCATTCTTTCAAAATAGAACTACAATCCAATTTTCACTGAGCAATTGGAGAAACAACAGACTTATTGGATTAAAATATTGAACATATGAACAAATGCTCTATATAGTAAATAGATATAGTAGGTTCAACGCAATACAATTTTTTATATCTACATATATATATATATATATATATATATATATATATATATATGTATATATATATATATATATATTCAGTATTTTATGAAATATATTTCCAATAATTGAAAAAACTCCAAAAAAATATGGGTTTATATATAAACTTATTTTGAATCTGGTAACATATCAGCAACTTTCTCTCGTAACCAATAATGGACTCAATTTCAAAGAATATTTAATAAATTAATTAAATTAATTAATATCTTAATTAATCATAGGTTTAAATCAGTTTTGAAAGTAATGGATTTGATTTACTTATATTTCTTATTTTTATCACAAAATCGATCATTATAGCTTGACCTTGCAAAATTCAAAGATTTCACAAAGCCATCCCCCAATGTATATATAGTACAAAATACGGAAGCTACTAATATATCATAGGTCAGATTGAGAAAATCGGATTAGAATTAATCTAATTAACTTCAGAAGGATTCGAAAATTTACAAATAAGATTGTACTTCTGTAAAAACAGAACTCGCTCATTGTCAGTTCAGTGTTTGGCCAAGTTACCAAGAATGGAAACCACAGCTACCGGCGTGGTCCAATACGGGCCCGAATATTCGGCCTACAAATGGGATCGTTTCAATGCGGACCCGTGGGCGAATATGACTGTAGTTGATAAGGTAAACTTTAGAACTAATTCTGCAATGATACTTATTTTATGTATATGTGTTTGTATCAAGTATTTTCTGGAAAACACTCCAATGCAATGAATGTAACGTTTGCCTAAAAATGTATATTTGGAGATAAGGTAGATGTTATATTCAGTTGTATTGAACCAAATAATATCATTGAGATAAATTCAAAATCAATCACTGATTTAATTTTTCTTATCTAAATATATGTATCTAAAATATTACTATTATTTTGAGGTCCCGCCGGAAATTCTGCACATGGTAGATGTCCACTGGTACCAGTTTCCTCCAATGAATCCAATGTGGCATAGTATACTAGGTTTTGTTATTGGTCTCCTCGGTATAATATCATTTATAGGAAATGGAATGGTTATATACATTTTTACTAGCACTAAGCAGCTGCGAACTCCTTCAAATCTATTAGTGATCAATTTGGCTGTGTCCGACTTTCTGATGATGTTCTGGATGTCACCACCGATGGTTATAAATTGTTACTACGAAACTTGGATACTAGGCAAAATGATTTATAAAAAGTCAAATTGTAGATTTGCTCTATAATTTATATAAAAATTTATTTCCAGGGCCCCTAATGTGCGAACTTTACGGTATGTTTGGATCGCTCTGTGGGTGTGTTTCAATTTGGACAATGACTATGATCGCTTTTGATCGATATAATGTTATAGTAAAAGTAAGTTGACTAACTTAAACTGTATTTATATCATTTTTCACAACCAATAACTATGTAGGGTCTTGCCGCGAAACCATTGACGAATAAAGGGCAGTTTTGCGAATCTATTAGTTTGGATATCTTCTGGCCTATGGGGAATTGCGCCTTTCTTTGGTTGGAACAGGTAAACAATTCAAATTAATTAATTAATATAATCGATTATTTGATTAAAAACAATTTATCAAACAGTTCTATTCTTCCTTAGGTATGTTCCCGAAGGCAATATGACAGCTTGCGGTACTGATTACTTGAATAAAGACTGGTTTAGCAGATCATATATTTTAGTGTACTCGGTTTTTGTATATTACTTACCTCTATTTTGTATTATATATTCCTACTTCTTTATAGTGCGAGTAAGGGACCTAAAATAATTGTTAAAGTATGAATATTAAATAAATATTAACAAATATTTGTTTATAGGCAGTTGCTGAACACGAAAAAAGCATGAGAGAGAGAAAGCTAAGAAGATGAAAGTAGCTTTCTTCGATCTCCGGATCTGGTGCAGGGCTAGCGACAAAAGTGCAGAATTTAAATTGGCCAAGGTTGCTCTCATGACTATTGCGCTTTGGTTCTTTGCATGGACACCATACTTGGTAAAAAAATATATATTATTATGAATTATTTATTTAAATAATTACTTACTTTAACAAAATTTATTTAGGTAATCAACTATACTGGAATTTTTGAAACTTTTACAATCAGCCCATTGGCAACGATTTGGGGCTCCTTATTTGCTAAAGCAAACGCTGTCTACAATCCGATAGTTTATGGAATCAGGTTAGAGAAAATATTATATATAAAGTTCAAAATTTAAATATTCAACTAATACATTATTTAATTTTATAGCCATCCTAATATAGAGCAGCT